GCCGGGTAAAGCGGCCAGATGACGTTAAAATAGAAATAGAAACAAATAAAGACCAAGGAATGGACCAAAATGGATACTACACAACAAATGTTGTTTTCAGAGAGATTTTGTTACAGAATTAGTATTTTACAATTTGGAAGATGACATTATCTCTATGTGTTGTGTTTTTCTAAGTGAATTTGTCTATATAAAAAAAAATGTATATATATTTAATTAATAGTGAAGATTATTGAAAATGTTCTTTTGCTGTATTATGATTAGAAAATTTATGTTACAAACCCACCACATGAAGAGTCCTTTTGAATTTTTATCCTAAACAGAGCAGACATAAAAATGAATTATGCAGGTATGTGATAACTGTTATACATTATTATAATATACAAAAAATTTAAACGATAATTCAAGGTAGGGTACGGTAACCCATGAGACAAATAATTTGTACAAAATAATTATTAGAATATATTACATATACTGTATATAGGGGCTATTGCCCCTACAAGCCACTAGTTAATATGTAAACCTGTTAGAATGCTGTATTTTGCATAAACTAATTGTATGTAATATTTTAAGTCTGAAAATAGCTACAATGTACAGTGTTATTTTATGATTTGTTCTTGTTGTAATTGTATTTATAAAATTTTAATATACCTAGCAGGTACCTTACACATTTTTTGCAATACATTAAAATGTAATATCCTTTGCAACAAATAATGAAAACTATAGATAAAATAAAAATAAAATAACACGTACTTGTAAAAGGTTTAATTTAATTTTTTTACTGTAATACACATTCTATTTGGTGCTTGAATGAAAACTCAAATGAAAAATAACTAACATTAATTAATGGAATAAGTTACAGTAGACCCCCTCTTAACCGACCTCGTATTAACCGATAATCGGATTATCCGCCTTTGATCGTAAAATAATACAGTTTGTTTTAACCGACCTTGCTTTGAGAGCAGCTCGGTTTAACCGCCGCTTTCTAGGAATCTCGGCATTTCCGCTCCCACGCTGGGCGATGAGAACTGAACCATACGCTTATCTCCACAGGATATGACTAACAATAAGTTATTTTGTGATGATCACAAAAAATATAGCATAGCCTATTGTCAGTTTGTCATCATCGTTCGTAGCTCGAGCACATCTGATCTGATTTGTTATCTGTGCGGCAAATTTATAACATCATAAAGTGCGTTACGATTTTGAGAACTGATTATCTTATCGCTGGAGTAAACAAACAACGCAACTTGTAGGGAGGGCAGGGAAGGGGTGTTAACAACTCCAAGGTCAAGATGTAGTTTTTGTGCCTCGAGCCTCCAGTGAGAGGCTATAAATAAACGTCCTGTCTTGTAACAAAATGGTCGCTTGTATCTTTAATGAGGACAAAAGGTTCTTTACTGTATTACGATGTATTTGGAAAGCATTAATTAATACATTACAGTAGTAAAGTTATTAAAATAGGAATTTTATTGACTCTTGCCTAGTATTATAATATATTCACTGAAAGTAGGCCTATTTGACCCGTGTTTTGTGTTTATTTGTGACATTTCTATCAATATGAAAAAGGAGATAAGAGTAGTTTATTTTATAAATAATGCAAGTATGACTTCAAAATAATGATTATATAATTCCAAATGAATAGCACTTTACAGTATTATGTTATGATTTTAGGGATTGCCCGTTTTATCCGACCTTTTGAATCATCCGACCTAGGTCCGGTCCCATTAGGGTCGGTTAAGAGGGGGTCTACTGTATATTTAAACACGTGATGTAAGTCAGAGATAATGCATAAACTTTTAAAGCTTTAATATATTTTATAACTTACTATAATTTTACTAACAAACCTTTTACTATACTAAGTTTATAAGATACAAGTCAAAACAATTTTAAAGTTTACTTTTTATAGATTAATCATTATAAAGTTTAGAACATAGTTAGTTATTTTCCCTATAAATAAATGTCACTTCCTACTCTGATACGTTGGTCACGTTGGCATGGCAATTAAAACCTCCTGCTTTTCCTACATTTCTTGGCTGCACTAAAACTATAAAATCATAAACTATGACTTATGTTTATTTTCATAGTGGTTTTGGCATGGAATTCTCGTTTGTATAATATGTTAAAAGTCCTAGCATGAAAAGTACCATTAAGAACTTTAACGAGTTTGAGTTTTTTCTTGACGAGTAAAATGTTACAATACAAGTCTAATAACCAATCACAAGCTAACCATTTATATGAGTAAACAGAAAGATGTTTAAATGTATTCAATATAAATTAATACAACACAAACATAACATTCAATACAACATTAATTTGTTCTTTGTAGTGTTTGCAGAATTAATAATAAAATACAACACAAAAGTACGATAATGTCAACCAAAAACACACTGGGAGTAAAGTGATTTAAATTGTTTTGGATTGGCGATAAGGCATTGTATGTATGTGTATGCGTGTGCGTGAGACAGACAAGACTAGACAGGATCCCTTATCAGCTCATTATCATTTATTGTTGCAGCTGCTTGTTGAGCGCTTTTTTACGATTTCAGTCGACAACGCTCGGCCGCTCCCAAATAATGTAATTTTTGTTAACATCAGACGACCCTAGTTGTCATAAAATGTCTATATAGATTTTTTATCCTACTGGCGCTGTATGATTTTGACTCTATCGACTAAATTGAAGATCCGAATTTCGACGTATAACTTAATTACTATTTTATAAAACCTTTTAATTGAATGGGTAATATAATACTTCTGCCCCTTAAAATCGTGAATGGCATATACTTAGAGGTAAAAGAATTATGACGAAATTTCGGGTTGAGAGACAAAATTGAGATTTTAAAGTACGTAATTGTCGTCTCACCTGAAATTAGGTCACACCTTAAATTTGTCCAGATAGCTTAGCCTACAATGAGATAGTCCAGGACTCTAACGTGTTCGTTAATTAATGATCGTTTCGAGTTTATTGGCTCAGAATATTAATTACAACAATAATGCTTACAATGTTAAGCTTACCTTTAGCAAGTGCTCATCATAGCCACTCGAAAAATATGTCAAGTTAAATTTAGAATTTTGAATAACCTATGATGAATGCGAATAACCTAATTAATTAGAAACTTAACTCATATAAAACGAGACTCGGTCGTTATACTTGGTAATCACCAAAGTAAACTTGTCGGGAAAATTAGACTCGGTCGATCACCAGAGTCGATACGGGGTTTTTAAACCAAATTTACGTAGGACGGTCCGGGGTAACGAGGTAAGTCGTACGTAAACCGTTCCGGCAACTTAACTGATTTCCGAAGCTGGTTTAAGACAAAAGGTAGTGTGCTCGTACGTGAAAAAGCGTGCGGGGTGCGCGCGACTGCGGCACAGTAAAATAAAAATAATAAAACTTCTCTAAAAATGAGATTAAACAAAATAAATTCGGTAGCACACTAACCTGATAACTTATGATTCTACCAGGAACGGGGGAAATCTTTAATTGACCAGAATTTAGGAGGTTATAGACTGTTGGATTGTCTCCAAACAGCAAGCGTACTGACGGTTCGGTAGCGGGTGGACGACTGCCCGTGAGGTCTGCTCTTCTGGTCCCTTCTTCGCCATCGCCCCTGGCGGCGGGGTAGGTAACTAGCGTCATCCCTTCTACGATGACGTAGGACCATTGCCCCTACGATGCCGCTGACAAAGCGGGCGCGGCTTACCCCGAACGTAGACAATTATAATATTTAATATGAAACTTTTAAAAATCGGGTTTTTACCCCTTGACGGGTTTTGGGTCGTTACAGAATAACATCTAATAATACATATTTTTCAAACAATGTTTTTATTTTTCAAAAGTATTAGATCTCAATTGAATCTCCATTTAACCCTCAACACAATTGTACAAGTTACGTTCTACGTTAGGACAAGAGTTTTCATATTATTTATTGTATTTTTTGCCCCAAGCGAAGGGGCCCCCTTCAACTTGATCACCGCGGCCGTAGGTTTGTGTGAACGGCTTCATTGAAACTCAAACTGGCCCGTCACAGCCTAGCAGCTATGCTCGTGTAAACTAGGTCTAAGCGCGGGGCCCAGTGCAACCCTGAGGAAAAGTCCCTTAGAGTCAAGAACTTTGGTCCTAGTAATACCATAAAGTTCATCTAACAATAACCTTAAATATAGGATAACGACAATAAAGCTGTAAAAAAAGAAGATCATTCGGTAAGTGTCTGATTAATTTTCGAAGATATTAATAAAAACTACTGTGCAAGGGGCCCCTTTGGGGCTCCCCTAGGCCCGGGGGCCCCGGGCGCTCGCCCCGTCCGCCCCTAGGTAAGTTCAGCCCTGGCTTTAGCTCCTTAACCTATCTCTCTGCCTTACCATCTCTAGCTCCTGTCTTTGACGCTCCATATCCTGTCTCTGACGCTCCATCTCATTTTCTTAAAATTCCCTCGGCCGCTGCAACTCTCTTTCTTCATGTAACTTTTCTAGTCTATTTACTTCTTCAAGTCTGTCAACTTCAATTTGTATCAATCGTCTTTGTATTGATGAAATACTTCCTAACTGTTTGTCTCAGATTTGGAGGATATAGGCTTATCAGTTCTGTCATTTACCTCCAGCCTAGGTTCTTCATTTGGAGTCATTCTTACATTTTCTGGGGAATATCTATTTGGAGGATGTTTCTCTCTCACTGACTTACGCACCGGTATTGACATATTTCTTGATATAATTTATATGTCGGGTTTCGGCACCAAATGTTAAAAATATCAAAGACAAGACTTTAAACACAATTATTAATAAACTTTATCTGTATTTAACAAAATGGACAATGACAATATTTACAAAATCATAAATAATATAAGAACATATGTTGTATCAATTAATCAGAAAAACCAAGGCAGGCAATAAATTATAACAGCTTGGTAAACTTACAGGACTCCAGCGGATTTTACCGAGCCCATTTTGAAGCTAGGCTACTTACTCATGTGGTGTGATGAAAATATGTTAAATTTTGTACAAACCTGCATATTTCAGAAGTATGTCCAACCAAAGTTTTTGCAGCTTATCACTATATATATCATCTTTTTGCTTGGCACGGAAAATTTCTGCCTGTCCAGCCGAGGAGAATTTCTTCAATGTTGTTGTCATTTTAGACCTACAATAAATCATTCAGAATTAATTGATGGCTCGTATAGGGGAGTGAGAATGAAAAGTTATCACATGGCTGACCCTAGACAGCCACTCAATTTTCTCTAGCTGTCTATTTTACATTTAAGTTACCTTATCACATTTACAGTATGGTCCTCAAGAGACGAGAGTCTGCAGTTGAGGGAGGAGCCTATCTACAACGTGACTTTGAAGGAGCCAGTGAGGACAGTGCTGTGTTGCCAAATCTAATAATACCAGCTGATTTGAAAATATTGTTTTGTATATTTTAATTAGTGTCAAATATTAGTGAACGGGCGATGTTGCAACGTCGCGCTAGTCCAGTCTTGCTATTGGCTACCACCAACTGCAGACTCGTCGTCTGCTGTGAATGATGGTTGAAGTCGAGAGCTAAAACAGTGAGTGTTTTATTTGTTCAGTAATAATTACCCAAGAAGTAAGGTTTGCTTTGTGATGGATTTTTTCGCAAATGGTACCATCCAACGTGTGTGGGAATAAACAGTGATGAATATTTGCAAATCAATAGTTTATTGGAAAAAGTGAAGTGGTACTGCACAACGTGTACTTCAAAAATTGACATGATAGTTTCCAGAGAATGGGATGTCGAGGATATATTTAATCTCCACGATACTGTCCAGAAGCTGGTTAGTGTTGTAAAGGGTGTTGTGGATGATAATTTGTGTTTGAATGATCGCATTGGCGAGATAAATAGTAAACATAATTGTCGTGGCCTTGTTTATGCACGCGTATTTAGTTGAGTTTGATAATTGATTAGGGTTGCTTCATTTGGAAAGATTTATTTTACAATACATAATTGATTGATACAAAATGTCTAATGTTGTTGATAACAATTAATAATAACATATGATTGATATTTACTTATTGCCAACATCTATATATATAAAAGGCAAAGCCCTCACTGACTGACTGACTGACTGACTCACTCACTCATCACTAATTCTCCCACTTCCCACTTACCTAGGAGGCTGAAATTTGGTACACTGATTCTTTAGGCATTAAATAGGAAAACTAAGTGGTTTTGATTCTGATCGGACTCTCGGGCTCTGCCCCAGTGGCTCTGGACTATCCCATGTTAACCTAATGAGTACTCATATTTAAATGGAATTAATGAATCATAACAGCTGTTTCAATTAAACAAGTTGGTTCTGTTCTATGATGTTCAATAGCATTAAAGTTACAAGGATTACCAACAGAGTTCAGCACTATTATTTTTTTAAATATTTGACAACAGCTAATTTGAAACCAAAAGGTGAGTGAGCGTAGCGAACGAACTTCAACCCGGAGGCGAGGTAGCGTAGCGAACGAGCTAACCTGAAGGCAAGTGAGCGCAGCGAACGAACTTCAACCAGGACGTGTGAGCGCAGCGAACGAGCTCCAACCCAAAGGTGAGTGAGCGTAGCGAACGAACTTCAACCAGGACGTGATTGAGCCATGCGAACGAGCTCACGTATGAAGTTAAACGGGGCAAAGCCCGCGGGTACAGCTAGTAGAACATAAAATAATTATGAAACATGTGGTTGATATACTATAATAATCAACTACATAACCTCGTTCAAAATCAAGCTAAAGTTAATATAGACATCTGTCGTCTGCCTGTACAGTCGCGAAGCGGTAAAGATTCAATCGAACGTGAGCGACTCTGACTATCGACCACAGCGGTCGATCAACTATCGAACCAACATATCGATATATCGAACTCAACAATCGTATCCGATTCTGATGTAAACAAACCTGAAATTTAGGCTGTCAGTGTCAATAGTGTTATTCAGGGCAGCAATAGCAATTATGATACCGAATTTCCACCTTTTCTTGGATCAGGTCCTTCTGTGGGACAGAAAAATAACGACCAACCTACATGGAATGAGTAAAAGATTTATTTAAACATAAGTTAAAACCAGGAAACAACCTATAATTGGGTCAAAGGTAGATGACATTACATGTAAGGTTAGGGCAGTAAGTAAACTGGAATGGATATTTGTGTTCAAAGTTAGTCCTAACTGTTCCAAAAATGACATCTGTGATTATTTAAAGACCTCTGGGATTGTAAATGCTGAGTGTGTAGAGTTGAAATCTCGGTTTGGTAGGTATAAATCTTTTAAAATTGGGGTCACTTCTGAACTAGCATCTAAAGTGTTGTCACATACTTTTTGGCTTAGACATTCTTGTAAGGGAGTTCAATGAAAGCCAAAATACTCCTAGGACAAGGTTTTCCCTTCTCGAAACTTTTCTAGGGAAAAATCATTCATAGCTCAAAAGAGTACTGCTGCTAGGCCTTTGATAAATCTTTGCACAATAAACATTCAGTGCATGGGAAATAAAACTAATGAAATAAAAATTTTAAGCCTTGAGAAGAACATTGATATTTTGTGTATTTGTGAGCATTAACTCTTAAGTGATAAAATTCAGTTTTACAATACAATTAGTAATTTAAAACTAGCAGCATGCCGTTGCAGGCAGTCAGCTACTGGTGGGGTGGCTATGTATCTGGTAACAAACTTACAGGTAATTATAAACCTTTGGACTTAAGTGGTTTCTCTGATGATCTCCAGGTTGAATTTGCAGGTGTAGTGCTGCCTAGTCTTTCAATGGTGGTAATAAGCATGAATCGCTCTCCTGGTAATGTATAGATTTTTTGAATTGCTTGAACTTTGTCTAAGTTACCTTACAACCTTAGGCCTCTTAGTGATGATTGGAACTGATCATAATATCAATTTGCTTAGCTCTGACAACTACGCGTCTGATTTTGTAAATTTGATGCGAACTTTTAATTTATTTCCTTTAATCATCGAACCAACTAGGGGTCCTGCATCTCTGGACACTTTTCTAACCAAATTGGACAGATGGAGCTATGTAGCTGCGGTAAGTGTGGACAAGACTGCAGATCACAAACATGTTCTGCTTTCGGTCTCTACACCGAATGTGGATCAACATCACCGGGTGTCCTCAAAAGTGGTTTTATTTATTTTTTTTTTTTTTTATTTATTTAATTCCAACGGCAAATACCAATACTTATAGGAGGCATGATGCAACATGGCTACATACAAAGAATATACAAAAAGTTCAGATAATACAATACAGAAATACACAGAAATATAAATACATAATATATAGAAAATACAAATACAGAAATATACTGAAAAACATATAGAAATATAGATACAGAAATACAAATAGTATATATGTGCAAAATGCTTGATATTCAATGAGATTACGAGAAATTACAACAAATGCAAAACAAGCAGAAATGACTATTTACAAGTGCAAAGAGACTTTCAATCCACCGAATCAATCAGCTATAGGCCAGGGAGCAGCGAGTATCCGTCTTCTGATGGTAGTTGAACTGTCACAGAGTAGGTCGACCGTGTCGCAGAGACCATTCCCAAGCCTCATCATCCTTGCCAGTGGACCGTGGAAGTCGTAGGAACGCTGGTAATGGCGCCTGCTAAACAAGTCACGTGACCGAGTTCTGGATGGAAGGCGAAAGTCCACTTGTGACAGAAGCATGGGACAGTCCAGCTGACCACTGATAAGCTTAGCAAGGAACAGCACATCTGCTATACAGCGTCTCACTTCCAGGTCAGGGAGGAAAAAGTTAGCCTGAAGTCCAGCAAATGGAATTTCCCTGTAGTGCAGTCCCTGACGAATCCCCAGTAGTCTCACGAACTTCCTCTGCACAGCCTCCAACTTATCGATCAGACCCAGGTGGTAAGGGGACCAGACAGGGCTGGCATACTCCAGGAGCTGACGCACAAAGGATGAATAGAGAGTCTTTAATACGAGAGCATTTGTCATACCACGAGTCGACCTAGTGATGAAACCCAGCATCCTATAAGCTCTTCTGCATATGTCGTTGACATGTGCATTAAATGAGATGTCCGAAGAAAATGTGACACCCAGATCCTTCATCGTATTCACTCTTCCAAGGGGCTGGTTATTCAGTGTATACTGGAAATGGTGCAGGTTGTGCATACGACCAAAGGTCATAACGGAGCACTTAGAAAGATTTAACTTCATGTTATTAACAATGCACCAGTCCAATAAATTGCTGAGACTTGTCTGCAGGCGAGTAAAGTCCTCATCACTGGAGACCACGGTGTATATCTTCACATCGTCAGCAAAGAGTAGAGCGTCGACGAGAAGAACAGACGTTATGTCGTTGATGAACAAGGTGAATAGGTGTGGCCCGAGTAACGACCCTTGAGGAACACCGGAGGTTTGCAGAAATTCTTGGGAAAGCGCACCAGGCAGTTTGACTCTTAGGCGCCGGCAATGCAGATATTCGGAGAACCAGGAAAGCAATGGGCCATGGATTCCATAAGCTTCTAGCTTGCTGACAAGGATGGAGTGGTCAACTTTGTCAAATGCCTTCGCAAAATCGATAAAGGCAACATCAAGCTGTTTACCTGATCCCATAGCAGATAATATGCTTTCCTCAAATATCATCAGGTTGGTGACGGTTGATCTAGAGGAGGTAAAACCATGTTGACTGGGACTTATTAGCGGTTTTAGAAAGGGTTTAAGGCGAGAGAGCACTAACATTTCAAACACTTTCCCCACTGATGAAAGGATGGTGATAGGTCTATAGTTCTCGACTTTCGATGGATCGTCTCCTTTTAGAATCGGAACAATGTGCCCCGTCTTGAGAGTCTCAGAGAATATTCCTTGTTGAATGGACAAGTTGAATAACATAGTCAGCGGTTGGGCCAAAGTGTCGCTGCAGTGTTGGAGGAAGGATGGAGGCACATTGTCCGGGCCAGCACCCTTCGTAACATCAAGTTTCCTGAGAACTTCTAAGACTTCCAATACAGAGAAGGAGATGATCGGTAGTGTAGAGTTGGCATTGAAGTTAAAAGGAGGTGGTGAAACTACGGGCTTCGAGAAAACCGATGAAAAGAAGGTTGAAAACATTTCAGCTCTCTCCTGAGGTTCATTGGAAGAGTTTCCATTAAAACTAATAATAGATGGTAT